GAAAGAGTGGAAATTACAAAAACATACAAGAAGTGTGATTAACCATTGTTAATTGCTTGCCCCTCTGAGGCCCTTTTCTTCAAATTTGTCCTTGAAAGCAAACAATCTGTCTTCAAATTATTCTTGCCATTTCAAATAAATGAGGCCACATACACAGTGGCTAAGAAACCATTCTTCAGCTTCTACAAACAAAGCCAATTTACATACCTTTCTCACCCACAAATGGCAAGGACCAGGTAAACACATCCATGAAGTTTGGAAGCCAGTATGGATGAGGGGAGCAGTTGAACTGTCTGATATTCATAACGTTGTTCTCATATTTCAATACTGCAGCTAGAAGGAGGAAAGGAAAGAAACAAAAGAGACGTCAGTCACGCACGTGTGCCTAGCTACCGGACCAGCACCATCTGCAGCGTGCCCAGCCTGTAGAGCTGCTCACCAGCTTTCAACCACTTGACCCAGTGGAAGCTCTTGACTGCTAGTTATAACAGGATACAGCCTCAAAGAAGTTGCAAGCCATTTCCAGTCTGAAAGCAGTGTTGTCAGCTTTCCCTAGCACTAAGATGGGTTGGTAAGTGAATGAATAATTCTGAGTAGTCATGAAGGTTGGCTCTGGGATCTGCCACCAGTAGGGAATGAGGCAGAGTATCCACAACCACCCATTTCATGCAGTTATCAGAGTTTCTCGCAACCATACTTCAGAGACTACAGAGAAAAGCATTTATCACACAGGGTTTGAATACTTGAACATTTTCAATGTATTTCACTCATAGTATTGTACAATAGATGATACTTCACACGTTTTTTCAAACTGGGCAGATGAGACTGTGCTCCCAACAGTATAAATAAATACCAATACAATTAGTTTTGCACTGTTTAAAAGTTGTATCATTCTTGTCAAGACACACACAAAACCCCCTACATTTACTAATGTGCAAAAATACAGATATTTATACCATAGTCAATTTTCAAAGCTCTACACCAAGTTCAGTGTTAATTTGTGTTAATGGACTTCAGGTTCATATCTGAAACAGGATCTGATTAACCCGTTTTTGCAATATTAATAGAACAAAGTACATCAAAGCACTTAAGTAAGAAATAGTTATTTATTTCTAGAAGAGACCATAGCTGCAGCCATGTCCCGTGCAGTTGAAATTAAGATGAAAGAGGGAAAGGCTCAATGAGGTTTGGGTATAACTGAGAGAGGCAAAGAGCTCAGCTGGGAGAGAAAGGAACAGTATCAATTTGGTTAGGGAGGTGCAAAGTAATCATGTTGAAAATGAGGCAGATGAAATAAAATGAACTGTACAAGAAGCCTAGACAACTACCCTTACAAAAACTCATTTTCCAAAGCATTAAGTTTGCCCAGTATGATGCTAACTCTACAATTCCACACCATGTCTAGACTTTCATGCACTTTCAAAATTTTTTTATAGCAATAAGTGGTTATTAGGATGCTGTAGATTATTCAAACCTCAGGCCATTCATTTAGACTGCCTGGAAGAATACAGAAGAGGGGTGGGTTCAGCAGCTGTTTGTATCACAGGTCTATTTGTCAGCTTTAAAAAAATGTATTGAGGGAAAGCTTTCAATGATGTTGTCTTCCAATAAAAATCATCCAGTGCTGGATTTCAATTGTTCCACTTATGGGCCAACTGCCTCCACTTGGGAAATAGTAAAACTAAATCTCATTCCTCCTTTCTCCTCCCATGCACTCCCTTTTATTTTTCCTCTTCTTTTCTGTTTTCTTGCAAAGACATGTAATATAAAATCTTAATATTGCAGTTACTCAACCTTGTAACTGTATCTCTACCCTAATAAGGGTATTTTTTAATCTACAGAAACTGTTTCCTGAAATTCAGTAATTTCTAAATTGCACAGGCACAGAATACATGTGCTCTTGCATATGAACTGAAGCACTTACAAAACAGAAGAACAAGTATTCCTTTGTTCACGGAGAAAAAGTTCATTTTGAGATGACCGCCTAAAACCAAAGGGACTCAACTTTCCTGAACACAAAAACGTAAAAGTTTTTTAAAAATACAGTTACAGGAGACTGCAGGCAGGATCTTCAATCAACATTCGACTAAAATGGTCAACACAAGCAGAAGCTTCCATTCACTGGAAAAAGTGCCAGCATGTTACAGTTTTAATTATGCAAAAAATAAGGGCGGGGTTTGCACTTTTCAAAAAAGACAGCTCAGTGAATTTTACATGAAATCTGCTGGTCATCTCACTGCTGGCATTTGCATATAACTCAATGCAATTGCTGCTCAGATGCTTACTCTCATGTAGACAGCACTAACTTCACTACATCCTGCTGGTCATCTCCTGATCTTGTAGCAGTGCTAGTTCTGTAGCTGTAGAAGAGCTGTCGAACACTTTTACACTAGAAACAATACACTGCACATCTCCAGGGAGGAACATAGTTCCAGGGGCTGGTTATCACTTAACAGGCAGCAATGAAGTTGCACAAGTGCCACAGGGTACAGCACCCTAGGAAACGTGTATCACAACGCTGGCTGAAAGGGGTGAACTATTTCTTCTGATTATTCATCTCCTTCCACTGACTAAAGTGTGTGTCAATCAGACAAAAGACCTTTATTAATGCAGTAGACACCTGCTTCCCACAAAAAGTTAATAGGTGGCTGAATGTCTTTCATTTTGTGGCCAATGACAAGAGTCCAGAGTGACCTGGGAGTTTCTGAAGCCTGTTCATCAATAGACACAGAAAACAGCCCGCTAACATTTATGCAAAGTTTTGCCAGACACACACTCTCCATTTAAATAAACCACATTTGACTCTTGCCCATCCTAGTCTGACAGCTGGCAGCCATTCTGCTGCTCAGTAAAATAAAACTGGCTTAATAAGGCTATTAGCAAAAATAGGAAAACTAGTGTTGATGCTCTTAATATTTCCATCACTTTTTGGCTGAAATTTCATATGGCAGATTGAAATTCCTTCTCCTACAGTGACACAATTGCATAATAAAAATAGTTTGTGGCTTTACAGCAGAAATGAGTCAAAACCACACAAAAAGGACAACTTAATGGCTGCAAAGATTAATTTAGAAGGACTAAAACTTCCAATTTGTCATCTTTGTGAGCTGAGGTAGTTCCTCTTTCCACAATTTCTTCAATCTATCCATGAAATCTATTTCTAAATTCTGTGAAAGTTTAATAAATCATTTATGCAAGGAACTTTTAAAACTGGCCTCTAAAAAAAGCTTGAAATATAAACAGAACTTTTGGAAAACATAAAATTAAATATAAATGTCTTTAGTTTGGTTTGGTTTTTAAAGGAAGATAATTTATTTTGAGATTACTGTAAAAAAAATCTTCAGATCACCTTATTAATATATACAACTGAATATTTTACAAAAGCAAGTTGCAATAACAATATTTGAAGAACTATTCTCCTCTGTAAATCACCTGGACAGATTCCTCCCAAGTTATTGTAAAGGACACTTGAATTAAAATAATACTATACAATATAACAGGATAATGATAGAGACATATGTCTTCTAAAATAAGCTTATTCTTAAAAGAATAAAGTAGGGTAGTTACCAGTATCACAAATACTTCTCTGAATTTTTAATTTTAAATCTTTCATTTACAAGCACATTGTACACAAAATATTTTTGTTAGGTAATTAGTGAAGATTGCATTTAACTTTAAAAAAAACTGGCTCCTGTTATGATTGTGCAGTTCTGATAACAGCTTAGTAGCCAGAAGAAGAAAATTTCACCTGGATAGAGATGAAAATGCATCTCAGAAAACAGGAGTTCCCCGGTTTCTTTTGGTCATGGCCCCTTTTTTCCCCACTTTGCAGGCTCAGAAAACATTTGGGGGTTTTCCCTCTGCTTCATTTCCTACTCCACATTAAGTTAATGCCTAAATAGCTATAGAAGACACCAGCTGTCATAAAAGAGCAGGAATCTTTTGAAGATCAGGTGACAACAGACCATGCAGTCACTGATGGAGGAGACAGAAGAAAGTGGGATGGGCTCCTTTGGTTATGAAACCCATAACTGAGAAAAACTTGACTCCTTCCAACATCTGCTTATTATTCCAGGCTGCAGCCCTGATACTTTAATTTCCAAATGTATACTCAGACAGACACTAGCAGACCAAGCCACCAGCCAGTTTTATTGTGTATAATCACCGACCAGAGCAAGAATCTTATTTTATTATTTTTAAGAGCCACACACATTTTAACTTAATTTTGGTACTTGCTGTAGTAAATGAGTTTTAGAAGCTAATGCTTTCTAAAGTGAAGATGTGCAGATATCTCAAATGACATTATACTTCTTTCCAATAAACTGAGATATCGGATGCTGAAATCACACTGCAGTGAAACAAAACACAGCAAGCAAAGGGCATTTGTAGTGTTTTGCTTTAAGCATTTAACATAGGTACCTACGGCTGGAAATACAGGTGGTGAAAAACATGCAGGTAAGAAACCTTCCTTCACCTAGAAATGGAGAAAGCACATCTAATCTTCTCAGGTCAAATACAAGTACCAATTGCCATCTGAGACCCTCTGGAGTAAGTCCTTGGGTCCTGCCCAGTTAAAGATGAGCTTGGATCACCCCTGTCTCCTGTGTCATAGCTGTCAGATCTGAGTGGATGTCTCAGACCCCTCTGGCATCTCAAATGGCATTTTAAAAGCCTGTATGCTGGGAGGTGGATTAAGGCCTTAAGCAACATGAACAATACGAAACTGTATGACCAATAGTTCAGAAATACCCAAAGACATTCCATATCCTGCTTCAAGATCTGCTGAATCATGTTCCAGTATAAATTAATTGGCAACATTTCCATTAGACGAAAAAATAACAAGCATGGGAGAAATACCAGCTCAGAATGAACTACATGTTTTTAGATAAACATCAAAATCATTTCAGCAAACAAGTTAACTAATTTTCTTGTAACTTTTTTCTTTTCAGAAAACTCATCCTGCAATTAGAAAATAAATGCAGTGAAAAGTCTCCTAAATTCTTCATACCTAAGAAAGAATTTCAATTTCTGATTTAATGCCAAATTAACTTCAGCATTAACCGTGCAACTGGGAACAGTGCCTTCTCCTCCACCAGAGTTGCTAAGTAACCAAAGTGTTTTCTGCCCAAGACAGGTCAGGGATAAGGGTTAGTAAAATGCTTAAGGAGTTTAAACGTTATCAAAGGAAAAAATTATTTACTATACAAGGTAATGATGTAAATAATGCAGTACAGAAGCGGGGCCAATTACAGTTGGGTAAATCGTCCCTTTACAGAATTCTGAAGATTTTTATTTTACACGTGCAATTGCCTCTTCCAAAGAAGCACTGCAATAGTGTTCAAGATTTTATCAATAGGCTGCAAAAATCACTTCTGGCAAACCTCTCCTAGCTGGCAATGAGATTGGCCTGGATACCCTGACTACTCCTCGTTAAAAGGTTTTGTTTCCATGACAAGGCCTCATCACAACAGCAGAGATAAAGCATTAAAGAAAACTGACAGGGTAAACAAAGGCTACCTTGCTTCTCCTTCTCTCAAAGCACTACTGTTTCTCATCTTTGACTTCCAGGTACATTACTCTCCCTTTTGCCAATGTGAAACTAATTTTCCTGTTAAATCAATTTGGATCAGGTACATTTCTTAATATATATCTATGGTATGCCACATGCTGATACTTGATACATGCTTCATTGATATATTCCTTATCTGATAGGTTAACAAGCATACCAATGTACAGCTGGTTTTGATTTTTTCTAGTATTCCAAACTCCCCTGCATGTTTTCTTTGCTTCTTTCCTTCATCATCTGCTTTTCCTTTCAGCAACGCCACATGTTGGAAGAGACAGCACATTATTTTTTTTGATAGCTTCAGATTCTCTGGTGGTTATCTCACCACTATGAAACCTAATCTCTTAAAAGTGTGCAAAAGGTAACAGTCTGGCTTTAGACAGCTAATTAAAAGTGTTCACTCAGCCCCAAAGCATGCATTTACTGGAATGACAGCCAGACACTAAAATATGAAGTAATGCCAATGACTTACAAATAAATTGCCTGCCTCTGTAGAACCTCTGAAAAATCTTTCAATTGATTTTGTTGTTGTTGGGGCATGAACAGCATTACAACAAGCCCTAATTAAGGCATTAAGAAATATTAAATGTGAAAATGACAGTTCAGACATGGTACAAGGCCAGCATCTACAACGCAGTAATTTTTGGCATTCTCCTATTCTATTGCTGTAGAGAACTTCTCCTGGTGATGGGCACCTTGAATCCAGGGCTAAACCTATACTTAGACAACTTTTCTCGGTGTTTCTTGATCAGTACAGCCGTCCTTAGAGCTCCTGGAGTTACAGGCAACTATCACAATCCAATTAAACTTTATCTTCTTGCATGAGGAGTTTTGATCTCCTCCAGAAGGAGTAGTCTTAGAAAATCATCAATGCACTGGCATTTCTTGTAACAAGCTTTAATAATAAACTCTGTTTTGCTTTATGCCTTTTAATAAAATAAATAAGAGCAGAAATGTTTGAGAAAGCTATGAAGATACTGAACAGGATCTCAGAAGTTGTCAAAAAGCAAATGTATAAATTTCCTCCCTTTGCCAACGCTCTCCATTATAATGAATATGGAAAGCATTAATAACAATAATGAAGAAGGACAGTCTTTGAAAGAGTAGGGACACTAGGCTCCCCAGACCTAGGCAGTTTACGAGTCTCTGAATTATCCCCTGAAAGTCTCTTTTTCTGTCTTCATTAACTACGCAGGGCATCCCTGACAGGAGCCTCCTAACTGGAAAACCTAACTCTGGCACCCAGAGTTGTGCATGTGTGTGGGCTGGGGTTGTGAGAGGGCCAGCAGCCACAGGACAGATGAATTACACATGCAGACAATGGCCAGTAACCAAAATCATACAAAAAACTCAATTCAGTGCCAGAACCCAGTGGAGCGAAGCCAAAAGAGATTCCCCTGGTGGGTCGGTACTGGGAGACAGCCCATGTAGAGGTTCCACAGCAGCATTACTAACAGGAGATATGCTGAACGTGGTCTTGGCTGGGTAGTTTATCTTCAGCTACTCCTGCCAAACCTCCTTTTGCTCTGAGATGATTGCCTCCCTACTGCTCTTTTGAGGACATATCTGATCCCAGTAGATGCTCTCCAGTGGGGACTGAATAAGTCCTTGGATAAAGATGGCAACAAAGCCTGCTCACTCTAAAGTACTTTGAAGAAGTTTAAGTAAGCACACCTTCTTGAATGGGTACAAGAACCACCAATGTGGGTTAGAAAATGAGTGCTCCTAGCCCCTTGCAGCTTTAAAAATAATGTGTCTATCTTCAACAACACTGCATTTAAAAATAACCCATTCATGTCAATGGGAGAGAAAGCCTCTCAGGAATTTATTTAAGGTGACTTCAGTATGCCTCTGGTTGTCAGTTAATAAGAATGTATAGTAGAAAGGAAGGCACTTACTAGTAAGAGAGTAACTCCTTTCCCAAGGACTGATAGTAACCAAAACCCCAAATGACCTGTAAAAATCAATCAGGTTCTGCACCAGCGCATGATGGTTCAAGCTAGAGCAATGGTCCTGTAAAACCTCTGGGTGGAAAAGACTTCCTCTGCCTTCTGAAATCAGTAGGTCAGAAGCCCTGTGTTCTTACTTATCTGCTGCAAAACAGCGAAGCCAACAAGTGATCTATTTTGTAGTAGAAAGGAAGGCACTTACTAGTAAGAGAGTAACTCCTTTTCCAAGGACTGCTAGTAACCAAAACCCCAAATGACCTGTAAAAATCAATCAGGTTCTGCACCAGCGCATGATGGTTCAAGCTAGAGCAATGGTCCTGTAAAACCTCTGGGTGGAAAAGACTTCCTCTGCCTTCTGAAATCAGTAGGTCAGAAGCCCTGTGTTCTTACTTAACTCATCTGCTGCAAAACAGCGAAGCCAAAAAGTGGTCTATTTTGGACTGATTGAGGATGATGGTGTTTTCCCTTCCTGAAGAGGAAGGCAAGCACCCAAACACTACCCAGATGAAGATGCATGAGCAATTCAGCATGAAAACCTATGCATTATCTACTATAAATGCCAAGAGCCAGCATAATCAGTCACATGAAACAATGCGTCAAAACTTCTAATGAGAGAAAAGGAGCCAGTTAAACCCAACAGAAATTCATTACAAAGCTGCTAAAGGTCAGCCTCCCAGTTTACAAGTCATAAATAAAAGAGTGGCACAGCGGTGCCGAACTCACACCACTGCTGATTTGACTGAGCTTACTCAGAGCAGATATCACCAGCAGCACACCCAAACTTCAGCTGTCACCACAGATAACCAGCACCTCTCTGCAGCTGGCCTGCAGCCTTTCCCCAGAAAAGGCTTTCCACCAGTTTTAAAATGGGTTCACCACAGCAGAACATCCTGGAGCAAGGGAAATTACCCCCTTCTCCAAAATGGAGATAATG